TCTATAGTAGGTTTGTAGGATTGGAATGCTGATTTTATTCACCCAAACCTAACTATATTTATGAAAGGCATGCAAAATTAAGCCACGACTAGATGGATCGAACGCACTTCGCGCGTGCTACAATATAAAACAACATGAGTATAATAATGTATGTTAACTCTAAATATTTAATTATGATATGCTTGAATTTGAAGAGAGAAACAACAAAAGAATATTCCATTATCTTATTTTCATAATTCATTTTGTTACAATAATATAGATGATCAAAATGGAATTGTGTATAATTTTTCTCACAAAAATTTAATTTGCCATTTACAACAATAAATTCAATAACCTGAATATGTGAAAGAGAGTCATGGTTTCAAAATGTTTGGTGAAAAAATAAATAAAATACTATTGCTTACAAATTGTGAAGTATTAACTGTATTAAATTTTACCTGAAATCAAGAAGACGCTTATGATTCAAGGACAATTTAAATTTTTTTATTACAACCTTCATTCACTGCTTTTAGATTTTGCAACTTAACTTTATGTTATCTGAATAGCCAAACATCAGCATCCCTACTTCTATTTGAATTCAACTTGAACTTTCAATCAAATTATTAAAACATATTTAAAGAACTTGCAAAAGAAGAGAAAAAAAGAAAGAAAATCAGGATAAGAGATAAATAGAGAAGAGAGAAAACCAACATAAAAGATGAATTAGAATTGTGGTGCTTAAATAGTTTTAATAAAAAATTATTGTATTGAATGCTAAAAGTAAACAAAAGGACATATGAACAAGTTGTTACAAGAGATAAAGGGAGATGAAGTATAACATTATTAAATAATAGAAGAGAAATATATATGAAATTTAATACCAATAGTAAAGAACAGAAGATGAAGGGAGATAAAACGTATAACACACATAGTAAACAATAAAAGATAAAAAGAGATGAAAATTTTAATAATTGTAATAAAAGATCACAATAAATGTTGAAAAATAATAGAAAAGAAAATATGAAAAAAAAACGAAAAGATACAACATTTTTAGTTTAAGAAGGAAAAAAAAAACTAATCTAAAGCAAAACATAAAAATACATGTGAGAATCATGTGAGAGGATTACCAAAAACAATCTCACATTCCCCAATTATAGTATACGTTGAAAAACAAGTCTATTCACATAATCACACCCATTTATTATTCCCCCAATCCTTTAAAGAAAAAAAAAAGAGAGTGTACAATTTGATCAATCAATGTAACTCATCTTTAACTGCACGCGCCAAAGTCCGTTCATTGCTTGCCTCCCATTATAGACTATAGCAATGCCACGACTTTCCCAGAGAAGTTCCTGCACTTTTACCCCCCACTCACTGTAGTTTTCCTCCCATTGCTAATTCCCCTCACGCACATGCATGTCAGCATGTGTATGAATAACGAATTCAACGCTCTCTTATGCTTAAACAATCATCCGTATTTTTTTTTTCTAGCAAACAATGTAAAAAATTATACGAAATCGTTGTCATCTCTGTCATTTCTAAACAAAGGCGGTCGGAAAAAAATATTCTATATGTTCAAAATTAATGTCCAGTTTTATGTTTCACTTTTAGTATCATTTGAACTAAAAATGAAAAATCAAACTGAATAATAAATTCGGGACAGAAGGAATACTAATATACATTTTTTTTATTAGTTTTATTTTTGTTCCAAATAAAAATATGAAATTTGAACGACAAACTCTATAACATTTTATTTTATTTTTTGTTAAGATAATAAAAAATTAAAATATACAAACAAGCTAATGGGTCCAAAAATAAAGAAGCAAAAGGACAGTGCATATAACTTCGAGAATGGGGATAGGACTTGAAAATAATCGTCCAAAATTAACCGCTAATGGACCAATCTGGACCCAATGAAGTGCCCACATTTACGCTGATTTCTTCTTCTTCTTCTCCTTCCGAACAGCCAATATGGTGGCCTGGTCAATCATGTAGCCATAGAGTGATGGGTCTCAACTCTCAACTCTCATCTAATCTTTTTCTTTTTATTTATGATAAAAATTAAAACCTGGGGTTTGATTGTTTGTTCGTTTTGTTTGTGTCATCTTAAGTCAACCAACTTGCACACACACACACACACACTGTGGAGCCTCCAACAACAACAATTATAGATTCCCCCTTTCTTATTAAAATTCGGTTAATTAATCCTCCTCTCGACCGGTTGTCTCCTTTTTCTGTGATCCGTGGGGGCTTTCACTTGTGCGGTTGTGCCCAATGTTGATATCTGTCCTCTACATTTGGTTTTCGTGATCCTTGTTACTGTGTTGTCCATCCTAAATTGACAGTCTCCACTAATTCATATCTAAGTCCGATATATTTTTATTAGTTAAAAAGTGAAATATTTTTATTCGTATTTTTACCATTGTATACTATTCGGAATTGATCAATACATGTTTTGTAAGAGATTCTCTTGGTATATAAGTAGGTGTTATTCAGGTTTTTAGCTTCGACACTAACCAAATTGTTAGTATTTCTTTTTGTCCAAAAAAAATAATCCTCATTAATTTTTGAGATTTGTATTCAAAAATAGAAAAAAGGGTCAAAATTCAATCTGGATTAATTTATTAAAATAAAGATTATATATATATAATGATAGTGTTCAGCAAGTGATTAGTTTAAGTTGAATTAGTTAGAAAGAAAAAAGATTCAGTGCTTGTTTGGACAACGTTTTATTTTAGTTTTTGATTTGGATTTGAGAAGAGATTTAAAAGGTAGTTTCGTTTTTTATTTAAAAAGTATTATAATATAGTGACCATTTATGAAATTAAAATAGTTCAGCGATCAAAATGAAGATTTTACAATAGTATAACGACCAAACATAAGACTTTATAATAGTTCAGTGACCAAACGCAACACTTTACAATAGTTTAGTAATCAAACGCAATGAAAACTTTACAATAGTTCAGTGACCAAAACGAAGACTTTACAATAGTGTAATGACCAAACACAACATTTTAAAAGGTAAATTAAAAAGTTGTTTGGACGATGTTTTTTTTATTTTTATTGAGTTTTATGTTTAAGAGGTAAAATGAGTAAAAATGGAAAATGAGTTATTGGACAAACAAACACCAGATTCTGCCTTAAGATAGATTCTTCAACTAGAAAGTGACTCTTTTCTTCTTTTTGTTTGTTTAACTTGTAAAATCCAATGAAACTCACTTGAGTATTGAATCTGAAAACTCCACCCATTAGGCAGTAGTACTTGATTACGGGGTAAAACAAATATTGTCTTTTAGCATGTTTTAGCTCACCAAAACACAACCAGAACTATTTGTTTGAAAAATTCTATGGGTAGTGGCCGGTCTAAATTATTTGTATGTTGTGCATTATAAGTTATAACAATAGAAGATAGTTGATATTACTCTAGTGTAGCATATGCATACGAATACCAATGATGTTATTGTGGAATGTGAATCTCTTTTTGATCCGTAAAAATGATGATATAAATGTTGGATTACCACTAATAAATACATGAGACACACACACACATATATATATATATATCACATACTGCATTCGGTCTTAATTATAATATACTCCCTCAGTCCCATAATTATTGTCTACTTTGACAAAAAAAATTTGTCCCAAAATTACTATCCAATTTGACTTTTTTATGGAATAAGTTACACCTTTGCCCTTTAATGTAGTGACCGAAACCATTTTATCCACACACAACACAACAGAACACAATTCAATAAAGCAAGTTTCAGAACTCAAAAAGGAAATTCATCTATGCTCATTTGGTCCTTCAAAATCCAAATCCATTAGTCATAAAGCCATAAATCACATCTCACAAAAACAAACAAAAAGCAAAATCTACGGGATTGAAAGACCAACTAATTTCTGTAATATATGATTATCAAACATCTAATCAAAGAGTACAAACAATGCCCTGAAAGTTAGATGCTTGAAAATCAAATTCCACAACTGGAAAAGAAAGAGCAAAAATCACCGAGAAGATGAAAAGAAAGCAGGAAAACTAAGCCTATACTCCGACGGCTCAAAACGACAGTGAGGACGAGGTGATCGGTGGTTGTCGAAAATGAATAACGGGAAGAAATCTTTCTGACGAATACGAGAAACCCATAGTTTCAATCAATAATGGATTGATGGAGGAGTTTGAGCGAATACGAGAAACCCATAGTTTCAATCAATAATGGATTGATGGAGGAGTTTGAGGATAGTTGAAATCGAAGAAGGCACCATTCATTGGGCAATCAAAACTGTGGGAGGAGATTTTCTCTTGTTTTCCGTTGCCCGGTTACGAGTACATGGCCTCCTTGGTCGATAAAGACGGTCAATATTTACCGGCTGCTGATAAGAGGATGAAAAATGGAGACTTAGATGTGGGTATCCGGAAGGGGTATATCTGAAAATTTTAGCAAAAATATAGTTAAATTTGACCAAAAATAAATTCTTTCATCTTGGTTAAAGTGGACAATAATTATGAGACGGGGGAGTACAAATTACTACAAATATTACCTTTAGTAGTATAATTAATACTATTATGGGAAGGATAGATAATTATTGATATACACTTAATAATTACTTTTGGCTATAGTAGTTAATCGGCCCGACAACTGTTAGGTAAAATAGCAATTAAAATAACGTGCTCAGTCAAACAAGCTCAAAATGAATCTTTTCTATGTCATCCTTACCATTTGCTGATACATTGATTTCTGGCTGCTGGACAAAAGGGATTGGAAAAAAGTTTTCCGGCTTCATCAAAACTAAGAGGTAAACAGAACCCAAAAAAAAAAAAGCAAAAATCAACCAACCCGAGTATTAAGCATGAAGCAACCTTCTTATTGGTGTCTGCAAAATGCATTATTATAATTATTGGATTAGTAGTAAGTGATTTAGTGCACGCCACACACACACACACACAGAGTTTAATGATAGTACCATTACCACCACCATTACTGCTCTGCCCTTTTTTTTTTTTTTTCTTTTTTTTTTTTCACTCATTTCATGCGCGTGGTTGTAAAGACCTTAGAAGAGAATGTCTCTATGAACACAGTTCCCTTCCCTCCTTTATCTCTAAAGGGCTTTTAATGTAAAGCTGCCCTGCCACTGTCAGTCAGACTCTGTATTCATTTTTTTGGGTGTTTGTGTGTATAATATTCATAAAAAGAAAAATTGGAGTTTATAAAGGTGTGTGTGTGTGTTTTTTTTTTGAACATCTACAGAAGTTACTGCTTTTTGTAATACTAATAATCTGTTTTAATAGTAAACTCAACCGTTTTGTAATATTAATTTGTTTGTTTGTTTCTTCTCTCTCACGCGCGCGCGCACACACACACACACTCACAATGGGCTGTACACCTTTGTAATCTCTGTAGGTACATACCAATCTTGCCCTAGATCCACCTCTTACCTTTCTGTACCGAACTTTTTCATATTTGTCTGCACTTCTATCCATATCATTTGCAGTTTTACTCAATTTCAGCTATACTTATCAAGACCCATTTTTTTGTTGTGTCTGTAGTGTTGAGCTCACATTTTTTTAGTGTTTCTGGAGTTTACATTGTGTGTTTGTATTTTAATTGTTGCTTTGGGATGCCAAATTGATTTGCTCCATTCTTGGTCATTGGTTGAATTGGGTTTTGGAATAAATTGATAAATTTGTTGGGGGTAAGACTGGGTGTTATTGAGCTTTGATTGAGCTGAGAATTGTGGTAAAGTTGCGTTCTTGTGATGGGGTGTTTTGATTCGTGATGAGATGATGGAGGAAGAGGAGCTAATGTGGGGTAGAGAAATTGCAGGAGGAATTGTTGTTTTGGTGTGAAGATGTGATTTTGGGAAACTGGGATTTTGCGTCGTTGTGTTTATTTGCAGGATAATGGGATGTGTTTGTTGTAAGCCCTCTGCCATTGAAGATAGTAGAGAGTCTCCAAGGGAGAGGATATCCAGCAAGGCATCCTCAGATTTGAGGGGTCCGAGGGCGGTTTCATCCAGGAGGGAGGATGTGTATAGAGTGAAAGATCGGGTGGACAGTAATGAAGGAAGAGTGGTTTTGATTGATAAGCAAATCAATGGTTCAGCTCGGTTGCATGGTGAAAGCATTGAGAGGAAAAGGGAGAAGACTGAATATGTTGTCTCCTCCCACCATCATCCTGGATTAGGTAGAGTTCCAAGAGCTACAGAGGGGGAGCAGGTTGCTGCTGGATGGCCACCGTGGCTAGCTGCTGTGGCTGCTGAAGCTATCAGAGGTTGGGTTCCCAGGCGGGCAGATTCTTTTGAGAAATTGGACAAAGTATGTTCTTTTCTTGCCATTTGCATTGCATAATAGTGAATTTGCAAGAAACTTATGAGATATGGATTGGTGCATTTTTTTTTTTTTTTTGATATATGATATACCGATGGCGCTCTTCAAAATTGCAAACTGAGTAGTCATTCATTTAGCAAGAAGAATGCTTCGTTTTAAATTGGTTCCGTCCTCCATTCACTAAGCTCATGGTTTTCATGCTTTTTTTCTTCCCAGTTGAGAGTTTTTACTTGTTGGGACATGTCATATGCATATCTGTAGCAACTATCTTCAGAAGTGATAATGCTTTGTGATGGTAGAAAGATCAGGACAATTTTAGTTAGACCATACTGTAATGAAAGTGACCAGTTTTGAATAAAAATAGAAAGCGCTTTTTCTATTTGAAAGAGTACTTTAAGCGCAGTTCCTTATTTAAACTCATTTATGGACTATAATGTCTTCATTATCCTTATAGGGTGAATCTACACCATTGTATGAATAAAGTTCATAACTGCTTCCTCGAGCCTGCGGCTTAATGACGTCAACAGATAGAAAGGAACCATTAAATTCTGTCAATTGATAAGCGCTACAGTTTATGCAAAACTAGTCATTTTCTCCTCATTGCCATGAACTGTCTGATATAGTACATGAATGAATGCATGGATCTTTATTAAAAGATATTTAAACCCGACTTTGATTGGTACTTAGGCAACATCTGAGCTTTGTTCGTGTTTGAGTTGGCACTTCCTTTTGATTCGCTTAGGGGGTGTATCCACATTCGTAATTTGGTTTAGTAATTAACAAAAGTGGCAGATTGGGGTTTATCCATATTGTTTTCTTTCTATGTAGATTGGCCAGGGCACTTACAGCAATGTCTACCGAGCCCGAGATCTCGATCAAGGGAAAATTGTCGCTTTGAAGAAAGTAAGGTTTGACAATCTTGAACCTGAAAGTGTGCGTTTCATGGCTCGAGAAATTCATATTCTGCGCAGGCTTGATCATCCTAATATTATAAAGTTGGAAGGTCTTGTTACATCGAGGATGTCTTGCAGCTTGTACCTTGTTTTTGAGTACATGGAACATGACCTAGCTGGTCTTGCATCACATCCTGGTGTGAAATTCACCGAATCACAGGTACCACAGCCAGCTCTGATGAATTTCTTACAACAAGGCATTGAATTTAGTGCCCTTTTATTATACTTCTTCTTGGTTGCTTGAGAAAATATTGCTTCGTTTCTAATTTGTAGGTGAAGTGCTACATGCAACAACTTTTACGTGGCCTTGAACACTGTCACAACCGAGGTGTTTTGCATCGAGATATTAAGGGTTCCAATCTTTTAGTTGACAATAATGGTGTCTTGAAGATAGCCGACTTTGGTCTGGCGAGTTTCTTTGATCCTCATCAAAGTCAGGCATTGACAAGTCGTGTTGTGACACTTTGGTATCGACCACCTGAACTTCTACTTGGAGCAACTTTTTACGGCCCCGCTGTAGATTTGTGGAGTACGGGTTGTATACTTGCTGAACTTTATGCTGGAAAGCCTATCATGCCTGGACGTACAGAGGTGCATTGCTTATTTCCCAGTTACTTCTTAATGTATTGAATGATATGTAATGCTAACCTTTCTGATCTATGGTTTATGGAGGATGATACTGTGAATTCTGAAATTCTAAAACCTTGAGCATGTGCACCATAATAGTTTATTGTTTTAAGAAAGCATGACATCACTCTTCCAACCACCTTTATGTTCTTTAGTGCTTAGAACTACTAAATTAGATTGTTGTTGTTCAAAATTTGCTTTGCTTGGCTTACGGATTTCTTAAACTCCTGTTTTTCCGCCGTGTAAGGGCATCTTGATCTAAACTAATATAATATGTGTAAAATTTGCTGCGCAGGTTGAGCAACTGCATAAAATTTTTAAGCTTTGTGGTTCCCCTTCAGAGGATTATTGGAGAAAATCAAAATTACCCCATGCAACGATCTTTAAACCCCAACAACCTTATAAACGTTGTGTTGCAGAAACATTTAAGGACTTCCCTGCACCAGCGTTAGGACTAATGGAGGTTCTGCTGTCTATAGATCCAGCCGATCGAGGATCTGCAACAGCTGCTCTCCAAAGTGAGGTTGGAAGTCTTAATCCCGCTTTCCTCCCGATGAAGAGTGCAAAAAAGAAATTAATACTTTCAGAACTTGAAAATATGGAGATAGACAAAGTAACATAGGTTTAAGAAGAAATTTGAATGGGCAACTTAAAAGAAGGCCAAAAATGAGAATAAAATCAAAGGGAAATATCAGTTGAGTGCAACAATCATAATGATGGTCTGTAGGTATTTTCAATGTCTTGGCAGTTCACTTTAGTGGTTTTAGCATAAGAACATTGATGATCTGACATTCTCAGAAGTGAATCTTTTTTTACCTTTTTATGCATGTAGGATTACAGGGAGCATTACCTACCTGATGAGTACTGCTTAAATAGTGTCCTCGAGTTGGTTTTTTTTTTATTTTTTAATAAAATTTTTATACTATTTTTGGCAGTTCTTTACCACAAGACCACTTCCTTGTGATCCGTCAAGTTTACCAAAGTATCCCCCAAGTAAAGAGTTTGATGCTAAAGTCCGGGATGAAGAAGCCAGAAGGTAAATGTGATTGTACATAACATCAATTCATATTTATTAATCATATTGGACCGATAAGTACATTACTGGTTCTTTGGCATTTTACCTGAACTTATGGATGGAGCTAATTTGGGTTTTACCTGAACAAAGTTTTTAAATGCTGAAAGTAGGTCCTTTAGCTCTAACTTTTATACTGTATATGTACAGAAAAATAGCAGCTGGAGGCAAGGGCCATAGGCATGACCAAGAAAGGAAAGGAGCACGAGAATCTCGTGCAGTTCCAGCACCTGATGCCAATGCAGAATTATTCTCATCAATGCAGGTAATGCTTTGACAACATGATTCTTGAATTCTTTGGAAAGGGTTTAGTCTGACACTTATGATGGTGAACTTCTGAATCCAGAAAAGACAAGGCCAGTCTAATCCCAAGAGCAGAAGTGAGATGTTCAACCCTCATCAAGAAGAAGTTGCTTCTGGCTTCCCAATTGATCCACCTAGACCATCTCAAGTTGTGGAAGAGGCAAGCAATGATCCTCAGGGTAATATCCATAAAAGAGGTTCCCATTCTGGACCATTGGTACATCGGGCTGCCTGGGCGAAAGCTGGAAAGAACATGGAAGATGCTCCGAAGATTTCAAATGGGGCTGACTTATCAGCTATGTCTGGTTTGGTTGCTTCTAGAAGGGCAATGCCATCTGAGGATCGCAGGGAGAAGGCTGCCAGTCTTTCTCAGCAGGACATTCCAAAACTATTTGCGAGATTTCCTGGATCATTCAAAGAGTCGAATTCGATGACAAAGCAAGATCAAAAGAGTCATGGAGTTTCTGTCTCTTATCAGAATGAGGATGGAAGAACCAACAACCACGATCCCATTCTTGTAACTACCTTAGCCATATGCTCCTTTTCATAATGAATCTCTTTCTAAATTCTCACACTAACCTGATTCATTTTTCATTGCTGTGTGTAGCTGGGCTATGGATCAAAAGGTAATAAAATTCACTATTCTGGGCCACTGGTGGTTCCAACAGGTAAAATGGACCAGATGATGAAAGACCATGATCGGCAAGTTCAAGAAGCTGTAAGACGAGCACGTACAGACAAGGCAAGAATGCGAAAAGCCCAGGTTGAGGGAAACCACTTTTCGATCAATTCATTATTTGTTTCTGGTCGTTGAGTTGGTACTACACATGCCATATTACCTGTACTTGTAAGAAAAGCGGCCAGCGGCTGATACTGGCGATTCTGTTGTAAAATTAAGATATTTTTAGGTGAGGAAGGGGGAGTTGTATAGGAGGTGTCTTCCAATGAAACATGGCTGAGGGCCCTCTCTTTAGCCATTAGTAGAGTTAGCCGGAAATATTTTTAGATCCTCTCATTATTAATTAGTGCCATGGGAAGCAATCAAATGCAGTTTGTTGTAGCTGCTGTAAACACTGCATTTGATGAGTGTCTATCAGCCATTCATATAGAGCATTGATTAGTATCAGTCCTGAATTGATCTGGCTTTTCAGCCTTGTGTATTATTTGCATGTATAACCAAAATCCAAATTCTGGGACTGGGAATATCACCAAGGTGTAGTAAAATGTTTATTCAAATCCCTAAATTCTCTTTTCTGGGTGTACGTGGGAGGAAAAGGGAGCGGTTTGCTGCACAAATAGTACCATCATTTTTGTTTTTACATCACTTTGGGAAAGGTGGTACTTTGAGCAGATCTTGGGCTAACCACTGGGCCTTTTTTCCCCTCCGTCTGTCCCTCGCTGCCATTAGGCTGGCTTGGTACTTTCATGGGATACTTTGGCGTTCAAAACACTTCATTAAGTGAGATAGGTCTACAAAAAGATTCTAACTTATGTGATTGTGCGTATATAATTATGTTTTCTTTAATCAAAATGTATTCCTTTTTTTTTTTTTTTTATGTTTTCAATCTATGGAACTGAGATGTTTTTTCATGCCAATAAGGATTGCCCAAATGATGAATGAGCATGGCAACAACCGAGTGTGTTGAGTTGTGCATGTTATCTTGCACTCGTCAGAAAGGTTTTCCGAGTACCAAATTGAGTTGTGCGCGCATAGAGTCGCCCCTTTAGTACTATGCCTTGTCTTGTAAAATTCACCCCACGCCTAATAAATTAAGTACTTGTAATTGTGTATATATATAAACAAAATAATTTTCCCAATCAAGTCCAGTTTCAAGTTTATTACTTAAGATAGGTTAATTTTCGAAGTGTTGATTTGTTTTATTTTCTTGATGGTTTTTTTTTTAAAATTAAAATATTAATAACTGTCTCGTCCCAATATATTTTTTTATATTTTCAATATATTTTTTTACATTTCCAGTTTAAAAAACACTTAAAAATACACAACAAATATAATGAGGTTGAAAATCAAAAGGGCTGTGTGTTGAACACACCCGACATGATGATCCTTGGATCAATAATTCAATCAGCCAGATCCCCAATTAATTAATTAATTAATCACATCTTCTTAAAATACTACCATTATCCTGATCCTCTCTTACTCCATCTTTTTGGGAGACTGCGTGTGGGGGGAACAAGAACTGAAGAAAGGATTACTTTACTTCAATTAAAAATAATACTACTACTCTCCAATGGAAGAGAATGATGATGAGGTCGATCTCCATTCTCCCTTTGCTATTTCTGGAAATTTAGAGGCCAAAATTTACTATAAGTAGAAACCCCCAAACGAATTTTCTTCCTGTACCATCTCTAATGATTCTTATTTTTTCTTATCTAACAATCAGACGTATGTTTTCATCATTCCCACCCACCCAATTATTGTTTTCCCATATAAATTAATCACTGCTATTTTTTTATACTATTCCTTCAATCCCGCCCACCTTCACGTTTCCGGTTCTCCGGCAGCCTGCTTTCTCAGTCTGACTGACTGGACTAATCAATATCCTTGTCTCACAAAACCCGGTCCGTCTCCTATAAGGTACCTTCTACTGTCCGGCCGTGCATTTCCGATCTGACCCGGATGTTTCTTACCTGAATTCGGTTAACGAGCGGCTGGGACTCGATTCTCCGGTTGATTCCGAGCTCCACCACGAGGGTTGCTGTATCTTCCGATTGCCGGTTAGTTTTCTCAGTTCTGACATGACGTCACAGTGAAGAATCGGTATTAAACTATAGTTTTAAGTTTTAAGTTTTAACATCAAGATAGCAATTTCTTGTGTGACCAGAATTAGCGTAAAGTTAAGGGATAAACGAAAAAAGAGAAAAGCAATCCGATCAGATTAAAGTGGCCTCAAAATCTTTTGAAAAACTCGTAATATTTTAATAGGCAGAAAGCCAGAAAAAAAAAAAACGTTTTTCTTTTGGCCACAAAAGTAAGGGAGAAGTACTGGCCTTCAAAATAAACAATTACAAATATTTGTCCAAATGCTCGTCATTTCATTGGTTTTTCTGCCATATTTGCAGCGGGCCATCTACTTAATTTAATTCTGATTATATTATTAGTAAAAGTGATTAAGTAAGCATAATGCCCAATCCATCAGTCAATAATTATTCTTGGTTTGATCAAGAATCAGTCATCGGAAAACTAATATGGAAGGATCATCATATTCTTCTCTTCTTTGGTGGGGTTTTTTCCTTATTATAACTTATAAGTTTTGAAAGTTTTCTTTTTCAAAACTTATAAGTTTTGAGTAGTCCTTTGGCAGCAGTAGTTTTGGCCTTTTGGGTTTAAAAAAAATCTATTTTAGGCAAATCTGGTCCACATCCCCCACAATGGCCTCATGGGTTTTTAATTTTATATACACTCTCTTCTCCCTTGCCTTCTTTGCCTTTTTGGGATTGTTTTGAGGATATGAATCGGCCACGTTTGCTTGATGAAACTCAAGCAGGAATCTATGGCATGTAGATAACAAGGTGGATCCTACTATTTCCAAAACAATGAGTATAATATATACTTATACCGAACCAGTGAAAATTGTATACATTAAAAAAACCCATTTCTGTTTCCGGAATAGCTTCGTTTAAAACAACCCAAAATCTTTACGAAGCAGCTACGCAGGTCAATATGCCACCAAGAAGGCAACAAGAATAGTTTTGGGTCTAATTGAAACTGGGTTTTTGTGTTTATTTTCATGTCTCATGGTGTCTTGTTTAAGTAAAAAAAAAGAAACAAGAAAGGCCTTTTTAAACAAATTTGACCGGTAAAACCTACATCTTTCATTTCTCATGATGTCTTGTTTTAAGTAAAAAAAAGAAGGCTTTTTTTCACAACTTTGAACAGTAAAAACTTACATTTAAAAATGAGATAATTGTGAGAGGTTGGTTCTTGTGGGTTTTCCCTAGTTTATTATATTTTCCTGGTTTTTGGTTTTGGGAGTAATACTGTGGTAGACTACCCGAGACCGAGAGAGGAAAAAAAGAAACCTGCTAAATTTGTGAGGCTGCGGCTTACTGTGGGAAAAAGCACACATTTTTTTGCCTTCTTTTAAAAGTAAGAGTATGTAATGTGTGGCTGAAGTTGTTTTGTTGGCTACTGCTTCAGCTGAAACTTTCAACCAAGTTCAACACCAAAGCTTCTGCCTTTCCCTTTGGTGATAAACTGGTTAGCGTTGCTTTATTCTCCATCTCATTCTCAGACCTCCTTTCTTTTTTTCTTTTTCTTTTTTTTTCTCTTTTTCCTTTTCGTATACGGCTGTTCTGCTGTGTGTTTTGTGCGTGCGTTTTTGTTGTGTTTAGCTAAAAAACAACAGCATTGAATTCTTGTAGTTAATGCTAGATTACCATTTTCTAGGCCTGAAGAAATCTCGTTTCTTTGTTGAAATTTATATTTTTGGTCGTTCTGTTCTTTGGTGCTCATTTTTTCTGTCATGCGTCTGTGTATCGGTGCAGCAGACGTTTGAGGTGAGGTGGGGCGGTGCTTTATGTCAGTAAGATGTGTTTTCTTCACTAAAATGGCTGCGGTGGAAGTGAAGCACCGTTTCAGAAATTCGAGATTTTCTCCTTCAATTGGGTTCTTGATTGTGTTTTCTAGGCTGTTACTGCCTGCTCGAGGTGGATACTAATGGAAGGTTCGTCTGAATCTGGCTGGCAAAGGTCAGATAGCTCTAGGGGTTTAGTTTCTTCTTCGGTGTTTGAGAGGAATCCTCGATTTGTTCGTCCCAGCACAATTAGGTCGTCTGGAGAGACATCAAGTGATTTGGGGTTTAGACCAGGAGGAAAGTTGAGGGACGGAATTGGGTTTCCTCACAACAATCAGGTTAAAAGCTACATTGAAGGTGGCTCCGAAGAAGGATTGCCGTTGGTAGATTCCCTTTTTCATGGCATTGAATGCAACGACATCAGTTTAAGGCATTGGTTGGACAACCCAGAAAGAACAGTTGATGCTCTTGAATGCATGCACATATTTACTCAAATTGTGGAGATTGTTAACCTCGCTCACTCTCAGGGAATAATTGTTCATAATGTCCGGCCGTCATGTTTCGTCATGTCCTCGTTTAACCGTGTCTCTTTCATTGAATCTGCTTCTTGCTCGGATTCGGGTTCGGATTCGCTTGAGGAGGGAACAAACAGCCGGATGGCTGACTTTAAGGGTTTGTCTTCATCTTTACCTCCAGACTTACCCCAAGGAGGAAGCCAGTTAGCGGCGGAGAGGTTGCAAATTGAGATGCATCCTCAGGTAATATCTGAAGCCACTGGGTTTAGGTCAGCTTCACCTCAGGCCGAGCTAGCGTCTAGGACTGACCAGACTGATGAAAAGAATCATAGTTTTCCCATGAAACAAATACTGCTAATGGAAACAAATTGGTATAGCAGTCCAGAAGAAGTTGCCGGTGGCCCTAGTTCTTTTGCTTCAGACATTTATCGTCTTGGGGTTCTTCTCTTTGAGGTCAGTCCCTAACATGATGCTGGGGAATATGACACTGTTGTCTATTTGTCCAATGTATCGTTTAATTAGAGACTGTCTTCATTAGTGATATCTTTTTCTTTTCTGATGGATATTTTGCTTGTCCACAGTTGTTTTGTACATTTACATCAGCAGAAGAAAAAAGCACGACGATGTGTAGTCTGAGGCATCGAGTTCTTCCTCCTCAGCTACTCCTGAAGTGGCCTAAAGAAGCTTCTTTTTGCCTTTGGTTGTTGCACCCCGAGCCAAACAGTCGGCCGAAAATGGGGTGAGTTTCCTGCATTTTGGCTGCTGTTAGCTTCTGCTCTTACTTGTAACTATCTCACTTGCAGTTGCTGATGTTTTTCTTTAGTTTATTTTTTCCATTGGTATCTTTTAGGTATATGATAGTTTTATTTTTACCCGAAAAGGAACTAAATACACACACGGACTCACTCACACTTGCATAGATCACATGGTCACACTAGTATCTTTCTAATTTTACCAGGAGTTGGTCTGGTATTGTATCGATGCTGTAATAGGAGTATCTGAAGAATGCTGACACATAGGATTCTGAATATACCCTAGTTTAATGATCTTATTAAGCGGGCTCTACTGGAAGCTTCTCATGTTGAAAGGAATGCATGAGCAGATATGCCTTTATTACATTGCTAACAGTTATCATGTCCACATGCTCGAGTTCTCATGATTCTGAGTAATTTTTTTTTCGCTGTTTTGAAATGTCTTCCTGCTAGGAAATGTAATATGTTCTCAGTTGTTGAGAAAGGATCTAGTGGTAACTGTGTGAGATGTGTTACCAATCTTTAGTCATTGTAACAGTTAAGATACGCAGCAATGGAGAAATTTTGTGGATTCTCTGATAGAGATCTTTTAGTTTCTCTTTCTGTTGTCTGTATTTATTTGATGACAACTCAGATGCCAACTCTCTTAGCCTTTATGGAAAATCAACTTTCAAGATTCTTTTTTGAGGTTTGAACCTCCGACCTTGTGTTAGCATGAAGTTTTTACATTATCACCCTAGTTTTTCTCTTTAAATACATGGAGTTTTTCCTCATTTTGTTGTTCATCTCAATCATGCAAGTCAGGGAGTTGTTGGAAAGTGAATTTCTAAATGAACCAAGAGACAGCATAGAAGAACGAGAGGCAGCCATTGAACTCCGGGAAAAAATAGAGGAGCAGGAGTTGTTGCTTGAATTTCTGTTACTATTAAAGCAAAGGAAACAGGATGTGGCTGATCACTTGCATGAGACAGTGTCCTTTTTAAGCTCTGATATCGAGGAAGTTGCAAAGTTGCAGACATCTCTTCGAATAAAAGGAGGTTCAAGCCTAGACCACTTGAAGGATTCTGCTTCTGGTCCCCCTTCAACCAATACTGTGGATGATGGTGATTCAGGTAGCACGGGATCCCGAAAGAGATGCCGACCTGGGGTTTCTTTGCATGGCAGAGAGGAACATAATGATCTTGTCTCAGAGAATCAGACTTCAAAAGCTCCCACTGAAATCCCAGGAGGTATCATGTCGAAAAGCTCCCGGCTTATGAAAAACTTCAGAAAATTGGAGGCAGCCTACTTTCTAGCTAGACGAAGAGCTCTGAAACCTTTGGGGAAAGCATTCCCAGGAAGCTCTGCTGTTAGTAGTGAGGCAAGAGGATCAGTTGTGGTTACAGAAAGGAGCTCTCTTAGTAATTTATCCACAAAAGAACAGTACAATGATGATAGACAAGGTGGATGGATAAATTCATTCCTTGAGGGCCTGTGCAAATACCTATCATTTAGCCAGTTGAAGGTGAAGGCAGACCTGAAGCAGGGTGATCTTCTGAATTCTTCGAACCTTGTTTGTTCTCTAAGTTTTGATCGCGATGGAGAATTTTTTGCAAGTGCCGGTGTTAATAAGAAGATCAAAGTTTTTGAATATAATTCTATTTTAAATGAAGACCGGGATATTCATTATCCAGTTGTTGAAATGGCCAGCAGATCAAAGCTAAGCAGTATTTGCTGGAATGGCTATATCAAGAGCCAAATAGCATCAAGCAACTTTGATGGTGTCGTGCAGGTTAATTCACAGACTTTGGCTCGTCTACTGTTTGTCTATTGAAGTGTAATCCTGACTTATCTACCTTAATATTTACAGGTTTGGGACGTTACAAGAAGTCAAATCTTTATGGAAATGAAGGAGCATGAAAAGCGCGTCTGGTCCGTTGACTACTCTGTGGCTGATCCGACACTGCTTGCCAGTGGAAGTGACGACGGTTCTGTCAAACTCTGGAATATCAATCAGGCAATTCTATTTTTGCACTTGGTGGATGTCAGCTTTGAAACTAAACGTACTACAGTCATCTAAATAACACTGTTGTATATATGCGGTCCTAGATGTGTAATATCTCTTACATGGGTGCTAATGCAGGGAGTAAGCGTTGGTAACATTAAGACAAAGGCCAATGTCTGTTGTGTTCAGTTTCCTAGTGAATCTGGCCGCCGCCTTGCATTTGGTTCAGCGGATCATAAGATATATTATTACGATTTACGTAATTGTAAGATGCCGCTATGCACAATGGTTGGCCACAACAAAACTGTGAGTTATGTTAAGTTCATAGATGCAACAACTCTCGTGTCTGCATCTACTGATAACACATTGAAGCTTTGGGATCTTTCGACATGCAATGCTCGGGTTATTGACACTCCAATTCAGTCATTCACCGGGCACTTGAATGTTAAGGTATATCATTCTTTCTATTCACTTGAGGACATTCACATTTGAGGAGACTGTTTTTACACATTTCTAAAAAGAAAAATTATTCAATTGATCTTTGTTTTGGCATTTATTGCACAGAGATATGTGATTAAGATTCACCACATATTTAATTAAAGTTTTTCTCCATGTGGAGCACTGAAAGAAAGAACTCCTATGTTAGATTTTAAAATTATGGAGGTATCGCATGAGGGTCCATCGACATGTGAGATTACGTTCGCTTAATCAGTTTCTTTATAAGTTGCGCTGTGTATCCTGAATTTCTTTATTTTGTTAGCTTTCTCACCCATGATGGGGGGAGGGAGGTTTAAAACACCAGGCTCCCGTTTATTGGTGCGCATCTGTTTTCCCTTTTGGCTTTTCAATGTTCAATGAAATAGGATTACAAGATGGAAATGTGAAAATTGTAGTTTCATCTGAAACTTTGGGACTGCAAAAGTGGCTCTCTCTTTTAACATTGCATCTCCTATATGGCTATTGTTAACTATTAAGGGGATTTGACATTGAACTGAGTAGTCATGTGAGCCTGCCTGTTTAGTGACATTAAGCATTTCATCCGTAACCCTCGGTTGGATGATACCTATCTTACTTGCCTTCATTTCTAAAGGGACAATTTTTTGTACTTTCTCTACGGTCAAGGATCATACGGTTGATCTTCCCATGTGTTTAATGTATGTGGTTTAGGGTGATGCTTTTGTCTAAATAGTGATTGTAATGACTGATGGTAGATTTTAGGGAGTTCCTAAGGCTAAGGTACAAAGTACCAACTCATATGAATGAAATTGGAAGTATTAAAACTACAAAGAAAGATTCAAGGTTTTCATTAATGAAAGGAGTACAACTGGTGGTAAGAAATATGATTGATGCACTGTCAGGTGATGTATAAATTTTTCCCTGGAGTAAACAGAAGCAGATCTTGCCCATTAGTGGTGTGGATCCCGTGTCTTTCAATTTCTCTTTTCTTTGCAATGTGATATTATTAAGAATGTGAATAGCGGAGAATTGTTTTCCATCTGAAGCATCTATGTTTCTCTCCTAATTAGCATCTCTTTTTGCAGAACTTTGTTGGCTTATCTGTTTCCGAAGGGTACATCGCAACAGGCTCAGAAACGAATGAGGTACTCTTTTTGTTTGTACTGTTCTAGGTCAAAACTGCAAGTCCAGTTGCAAATAGTGTTGTTTCCTTGGGTAGTGAATATTATGCACGTTTCAGTCTGCATTTCTGTTCAATTGCATATATAATGCATATTTGATTATGTTTCATTTTGGTGTTAATTGTCTCGATGCATTTTAGTATTATTACAATCATTTTTTTTTTTTTAAAACTACGTATAGCCCACCCTTCCATATTTTCAACAGCACCTGTCAGCTTCTTGTTTTTCTTTTCCTTTGTCTGGGTACAGGTAGTTGTGTACCACAAAGCCCTCCCTATGCCTGCAGTATCACACAAATTTAGCAGCAGTGATTCCCTACGTGGCGATGAAGCTGATGACAGTGCACAATTTATATCGTCAGTCTGTTGGAGGGGTCAGTCATCCACCTTAGTTGCTGCAAACTCCACTGGGAACATCAAATTGTTGGAGTTGGTGTGAGCTAATTGGTTGCTAGTTCATGTTCTTATCAAGGAAATAGGACCGTGAATGGATGACGTGCATCACAAAACTGGAAAGAAACACAATTATTGTAGAGTTGGTTGTGTACTTTCCCGGGTGAAACAGAAGTGAGGGAAAGCAGTGAAGTCAATAGGAAAAATGAAATGCTGCAAAAGAAATTTTTGATTTATTATTAGTTCATAGCGGATGAAGTTAACTGGAACATCATATCATTGAGATGTGTGGTAAATTGGGTCAAAATATATTGTAGATAAGATTTAGGAGTTAATGAAATGACACAAGGATCATTTTTGTATGTACATTCCTGCTCTCAGTTCTCACCCCCATTGATATACTGAAGAAAATATGATCTAATTCTATTTTTGACTGCAATGAAGTAATGTCTCCAAAATAGATTACAACTTAGCACAGGATTCATCATGCCGAATCTTCCCAGCCGGCAAACCATTCCAAAAGACCAAAAGCCCAATTAAGAGAAATTTGTTTTCGAAAGCATAATATGTGAAGCAGTATATTTATTAGGTTATCTTCCCTTTACCTGTCTGCAAAATGCGAGATGTGTTTAAAAAGGCTACTCATTTCCCCGGAGAGGCCAGCTTACGGATACCCTGGAAAATAAGCAAAGCTGACGCTTTGCCAACGTTTCCACCTCAAAGTAAATGTTGATAGATACCCTTTTAAGGAATCTTACTTGCATTGCCTGTCTGTAAATTCTGCGGAATAAACCCGTCTAGCAAGAAGGCGAGTAAGGCGTTCAGCGCCCGGTCCTGGAATGAGTTCTGTCGGGTTTCCAACCTCGGAGCAAGGGGGATTGCCGGAGCACCAGCCACCAGGGGTGAAGGAACCATTTTCCCGGCCAAGGAGTTCTGCATCAATCTTATCTAATACAATGTCACGAGAACGCTTAAATTTACGCGCAAAGGGGGCATTGCTTGCGATCATTTTGGCTGTGTCATTGATGTTGAGGTTGCGTGGATGCTGTTTTGGGGGGTAATCCCAGGAGACGAAATGCATATCATCGTTGACCACGGTGGGGACAAATTCAGGGGAATTGCAAATTACGGTCTGGAAATATCCTTCAGGAGAAGAAACAAAATTTGTATAGTACATGAGGAGGATTCTGGGAAGGTTATCCCACCCCCATATAACATACTCCACGAATGAGCGCGAAAGGACTGTCCATGCAGAACCTGAAATATGATGATGATGATGATGACGATGATGAAAACACACAAGAATTAGCAATGAATGAAACAGGTTAGCTTTTCTTCTTCTTCTTTTTTTCAGCTGGGTCAAATTATGAATTCTATGATTCAACAACTACTCCTTCAATTTACTATGTACTTATCTCCACCTGAAAAACTGTTTCTCATTCAAACAATGCTACTAAGCCAGTTTTTCCTCAGAGATACTCCCTCTGTCCCAAAATTATTGTCCAGTTTGAGATTTCATTTTTAGTACAATTTGAACTAGAAATGAAAACTCAATCTGGACAATAATTATGGGACGGAGGGAGTACAAAACAGAGAATTGGACTCACATGTAAAAAGTAAACTCACCTGTAAAAAGTCGGAAAGCAGTGGGCAAAGTTCTGTTTGGTGACACCCGGAATAAATCGGACTTTGTATTCTGGTAAATCCCTGGGTCTACAATTAAAGGCATGGCCCTTCCAGTCCTATCCCCCCCCCACCCCAAAAAAGAAAGCATTACGTGCTGAAAGTTCATTACCACTGTCAAATTTGCATAACTGAGCCACAGAACAAAACACTTAATCAGAGAGATAGCTTACGCTTTCACACCCAATCGGCTGGTATGATGGATGAAGTTCAAGTTCCTTTTTAAACCAGAAAAGGTGTGCAGAAGATCTGCAAAGGGCAATTTTTTTTTTTTTAACTACAATTTTGATTGGAACTTTTTTTTAAAAAAAAGTGTAATCAAGTAACAATTACTAACCATCTTGAGTGACCAATGGATAATCTGAAGCGCTTAAATTGATGAACCAATCCCAGTGTTTGTATGTCTTGAGAAGAATGGCACAAGCGTGAAGCGTGTTGGAAACCATGGTTGGACCTCTATAAGTAACCATATTAGCTTTGGTTATCATTAGGACATTCTGCACCTTATTAAAAATGGGATCTTTGTCAATCCGAGAAGCAAGCTCCAGCCTTTCCTCCAATGTGGATCCCAGCTCCAAATGAACTACATAATAGTTCCAGGGATGATACAGTGACTGCAGGGTTCTCCATAGCTTTTCAAGATCACCTCTTGTTCCTGATATGAAATAAGCAAAGCGAGGAGGCACTGGGGGAGCCTTTGATTCAACATAGAATTGGCTAGTGTGATTGACAGCAGGGGAAATCCAGAAAATTGAATTGATGGTTGTGAGTGACAAAAACACCTCAAGATTCAAGGAGATGGCACATAGGATAAGGGATATCAGTAAAGCTATTGCAACAGGAAAACCCCTTTTTCTCTCCACATTCAAAGTGGACTCCATTTGCTCAAGTGTTTCTACCATGAAATTTAGTGGACTTTTAGCTGATGATGCACACAGTTTCTCCACATCTCAGCTGATGCAATTCTCATTATAATCATGTATATCCCAATCATTCAGTGTTGAGAGTCCCATTTGATTCTATTGGAACTCTTCCCTTTGACTACGACAGCCACAAAAGTGGGATCAATGCCGTCTCCTTCAACAACAGCTGAAATAATAAAATGCACCAATGTTCATCACTGAAAGTGATTGTTAGCCTCATCAATCTATCAATGACTTTTACTGGGCTAACTATCCAATTATGCCTGGAAAAAAAAAAAAAAAAAGACGCCATCGAGAGGTATCAACGAAAAATTCGGAAAATGTTTGAATTTTTGGAAATCATTTGCGTCGACTTTGTCGTCGATATATCTAAGTCGACGAAGAAAAATTACTATTTTTTTTTTTTAGTTTTCTGCTTGTTTCTTTGTGGCATGAAAAATTTTTGCTTTAATATTCTATAATTGATGCGGGGATTAAATATAATCAAATTTGATACTATGCACTACATTTTATAATCCTTCTTTGGGTTTTTTAACCAGACTAAAAATTAGATGCGATCAAAAGATCCATTGAATAAATTTAACAATTAAACATTTTAACATTTATACTACCTCCATTTTTTTTATCAATCGCTTTATTGTGAACATATTTTTTTTTTTCATATGCCGCACTTCATTTTCAATACAGCATTAAATTCAGTTTTTTCAATTTCACCTTTATCTCTCTCTACTTTTAATATCATATATTACTGATAATTATCTCTCTACTTTTAATATCATATATTACTGATAATTTTTTTTGGGTAACGCTGGAACCCCACCAGAGATGGGTAAACCCACGTCCACTGTAATAGTTTGCAAACTACAGTGAGAGATAGATCACTCTAGGCAAGTCCGGGGTGACAGGTTCGGGTGCGAAATCGGGGGCTCATGAGTGGGTATGCGGTTTGCCATAACAAGCTCTTTAGAGGTGCCCATTAATAAGGTTAGAGTCACCTCTCACTCTTGTTGCAGTGAGAGGTAAATCACCCTATGCAAGTCCGGGTGCGAAATCGGGAACTTATGAGTGAATTTGTCATAACAAGCCCTTTAGAGATGTCCATTGACAAGGTTAGAGACACCTCTCACTCTTGTTGGAGTAGGGGTTTGAACTCATAACCTCCTATTGAGAGTAAGGGTGGTTTTACCACTGAACCAACACCTTATTCGCATTATCTATTCTTTTACTTTAATTTTAAATTTTTGTATAGTTACAATAATTTTAATTAGGGATAAGAAAGTGTATTATACTTAATATTAAATTATCAATCATTAGTTTCTTAATAGCTGTGTAAACCCTAAAGTGATAGGTAAAAAAAATGGAGATAGTAGTTGATTTGTAATATTCTTTGATTTATTGGTATCACTCAAAAAGTCATAGAATGTTCAAATCATCAAAGAAGTTGGTGAACATTAAATTCAATGTTTTTTCTGAAAATTTCTTTGCGGCAAAGGAATATTTTTTTTAAAAAAAATTCTATGAGTGATGTGAGAATTGAAGATAACCAAATTTGATAATATACACTCCATTTTATACTTATTCATTGTGTTTTTAAACCCAACTAACAACTAGATGTGATACAAAAATCTATTAAAAAATTTAATCAGTAAATTTTTGAAGTTTACTGTGCATTTAAAATATTTTTGATTTATTGATATCAATGAAAAGTTGTAAAATGTTTAAATATTTGGAAATGATTTGCTTGACATAGCTACGTCGACTTTCAAGTCGATGAACATTAAATTCATCATTTCTTTTTTTCTGAAAATTTCTTTGTTAGTTAGAATTTTTTTTCTTCAACATTCTACGAATGATGAGAACTGAGACAAACAGATCTTGATATCATGCATTCCATTTTATACTTCTTCCTTGACTTTTTATTTACCTGACTAACAATGGCAACATCTGTTTAAACCATTGAATTAACAATTAATGTTGATCATTTGAAACATTTTTTATTTTTTAGTATCAATCAAAAGTTGTAGCCTGTTTACATTTTAAAAAAATCATTGGCGTCGACTTTGTCGCCGACATAGATAAGTCGACGAACATTTAATTTAAATTTGTTTATTAAAGTTTCTTTGTGGCATGGAATTTCTTTTCTTTAATATCTTTATGAATGATGTGAGAATTGAAGATAAGCGAATTTGATATAATGGACTCTATTTTACATTCTATATAACCAGACTAATAACTAGATGTAATCCAAAAATCTTTTCAAAAATTAACCATTGAATTCTTGAACATTTAGTATAGTTTTGAAATATCTTTGATTTACTAGTACTAATGAAACTTTTTTAAAATGTTTAAGTTATGGAAATTATTGCTTTTTGATTCTATGAATGATGTGAGAATTAAAAATAATCGAGTTTGATTTCATATTCTCATTGTCTTTTTTGAACTTGACTAACAACTTGATGTGATCTAAAAATATTTTAAATTTTTTTTACTATTGAATGTTTTAACGTTTAGTGTTGATTTTGAAATATATATATTTTTTGATTGTTTGGTATTAATGAAAAAGTTATAAAATGTTTAAATATTTGGAAATCATTTACGTCCACTTTGTCATCGACATAGCATAATCCACATACAAGTCGACAAAAATTAAAATCAGTTTTTCTTTCAAAGTTTTTGGTGGCATGAAATACTTTTGCTTCAATATTCCATGAATGATTCAAGAATTTAAAATAACTGAATTTGATATCATGCCCTCCATGTAATACTTCTTCATTGGGTTTTTTTGACCCGACTAACAATTAGATAAGATCCAAAAATCTATTAAAAATTATAAAAAATGATTTTTTTATTTACTATTAATTTGAAATATTTTTTCATTTATTGGTGTCAATAAAAAAGTTGTAAAATTTTCAAATTTCTAAAAAACATTTGCATCGACATAGCTGTCGACATAGCTAAGTCAATCTTAAAGCTGGCGAACATTCAATTCACTGTTTTAATGTGAGAATTGAAGATAACTGAATTTGATATTATGCACTACATTTTATACTTCTTAATTGGTTTCTTTTTAACCCCACTAAAAACTACATACGATCTAAAAATCTATAAAAAAAAATAAAAATTCAACTGTTGATTTTTTTTTAACAATTACTGTTGATTTGAAATTTTCTTTGATTTATTGGTATCAATCAAAGAAAACATGAAAAAAAAAACTATAAAAAATGACTTGAAATATTTAAATTTGTTTGATAATTTATACACCAATCGAGTACGATTGCGACATATAATTTATATAGCTGACCACACTTAGTAGAAAAAAGGTTTGTTATCGTTGTTGTTATTGGTATCAATAAAAAAGTTATCCCTGGATATGGTCCTCCCTGGACTCTAACCAAGAAGTCCTCCCTGGATATGGTCTTTTGTGGAGAGTAAAGAATTTACTCAACAACAATTGGCATGTCGAGGTCAAGAATGTAGATAAAAATTGCAATGTTTTAGTAAACTCATTAGCTAAAAAGGGATTTATTTTACCTTTAGGTCTACAATTTTTGCCTAATCCTCCACCGAATTTAGAATCCTTAGTGTATCAAGATAGCTATAGTCTCACCTAGTATTGAGCTTTTATCACAAAGCCTTATGTAATTGAATTGCTCTAAATAATGTAGATATCTCAATACTAGGTGAGACTATAGCTATCTTGATACACTAAGGATTCTAAATTCGGTGGAGGATTAGGCAAAAATTGTAGACCTAAAGGTAAAATATTAATAAATTACACATACAGACTATATCTCAATACAGACTATAGTCTCACCTAGTATTGAGCTTTTATCACAAAGCGATGTCCGGCTAGCTTCCGTTTACTTTACAATAATAATAATAATAATAGTGTTAATATTAATAAATTATTTGTTTGATTTATATAAAAAAAAAGAATTTAAAACACATAATTTTTTTAACACAATATTTTAAAGAATTATTGGAAGCTACTTATGGGCCTGCCGGAAATTGGGTTTAATTGGATATCTACATTCTTTAGAGCAATTCAATTACAAAGGTCCAAATAAATTATTTTCTAAGTTGTGTCTGAGAGTGATTTTACGAATTAGGACATTTACACATACAGATTATATTTTTCCTTTTCTTTCGAAATTAGTAAAATCCCCCCCCCCACCATTTCGTTTTGAACGCCGGCAATCGGAAATGTCCCATTCTTCCAGCTCACTTTCATCATATTCCCCTTTTTCATCCCATTTTGCAGTAAATTATTACGTTGCACTGTTTTTATATATTTAGGTTGAAGAATTTTACAACCGGTCAATATCCAATAGAATTATCGTCAAATCCTTAATTTCTAATTCATTTCAGATCTGCTATATCTTACACATGCGGGCGGTTTTCGGAATGATTTTCTACACTGTATCAGCGAATATTGTTGGGCTCAATTATGGAATGTTAATGGGGCAAATAAAACAATCTTATCTGAATAAGTACGTCTGAGGTGAATCTTCATTTTCTGCAAGAACCCAGATCAATATAGGGATCAGAAGAAGTTTAGACATGATTCTGAAAAAAAAAGGATTCATTTTCTGGTCTTCGTTGTTGAGATAATTGCTCTTAGCATCAATGGTAATTTCCTATTCCTTTTTAGCTTCTTATTATCGAAACCCGTTTGGGGTAAAAGTAGTGATTAGCAGCTCATTTTTTGAACTAAATCCGTTGTTTGATTTAATCAAGCATTGCTTATAGTGGGAGTATTTTTGTTTGTTTATGCATATGGGTAATTATTTTATGGATGTCATAACTTCCAGCTGGTTTTTAATCTTCATGTGCTTTGGTTCTCATCTCTAGATTAACATGGTATGCTGTAGTTATTGTATATATACATCAAGCTTGAACTAATCAGAGGTAAATTTTATCATGCTGACTATATTAGATTGAGTAATGAATGTGATATA